GGGGGGTATCAGAAGTAACCAAGCAGGAAATCCAGCTGGCACTTAGATATAGACAGGGTGACTTACCATTCAGGTATACAGGGATACCACTGGCTACTAGGAAACTGAAACTGGTAGAATGTCAACCTCTAATAACCAATATCACAGCAAGAATTTTATCATGGACAACTAAGAAGTTATCATATGCAGGAAGAGTCCAATTGGTAAAGTCAGTGCTCTTTGGTATTCAATCTTATTGGGCATAAATATTTATCATACCTGCTAAAGTGATGAAAGCTATAGAAGGATATTGCAGAAGTTTTATCTGGTCAGGAGCAAATGAACTTATTAGAAAATTACTGGTAGCTTGGAGTAGGATGTGTATTCCAAAGGCAGCAGGGGGATTGAATCTCACAAACCTAAAGTTGTGGAACAAAGCAGCCATAACAAAGATTTGCTAGGACCTGAAGACTAAGAAAGACACTCTCTGGATTAAGTGTAATCATGAATACCATATAAAAGCACAACCTTTGGAGAGTATGGATATTCCCCAACAAGCTAAATGGATGGTCAGAAAAATACTCAAAGCATTGGAGGAACTATGTCATGTGCAACCAGATCACCTGAAGAGCAAGAGTATGATCATAAGCATTTACTTGAGAATGGTAGGGGATCTATCCAAAGTTGCCTGGAAAAACATCATTTGTGGCAATGAAGCAAGGCCAAAAACAATATTTATAACATGGCTCCAATAACAAGACAGACTACTAACTGCTACAAGACTGAAAAAATGAAGAATACAAGTTGATACTACCTGTGTCATGTGTAAAGTGGGAGCTGAAAGCAGGGATCATTTATTTGTGGAATGTGCAATTGGAAGATAGGTGTGGGATAAACTAATGAAGTGGCTGCAAATCACTTGGGTGGCTATGAGCTCATGGAACCAGATGCAACACTGGATCGAGCAGAATACAAAAGGGAAAACTATGCAGGCAAAACTAGTGAAGCTGGTGTTTACAGAATTTGTTTATGTAGTCTGGATAGAAAGGAACAACGGGTTGTTTGCCCAGAAGGAAAACACATGTGAAACAATAGCTAGAGAGATTGCATATACATGTCATGTTAGAGCTAGTGATACCACTAAGATGCTACTCTTTCAGTGTTAGAGCTCCAAAAGTATAGATTTCCTAGATAAGAAGGAGAGAGTAAACATAGATAGATAGGTCTTTCCGTGTTAAAGTGAATTGTTGATAGTTACTGTAAGTGAAGCAGACTGTGTTATAAAATCTAGTTGGTTTGTACATGATACTTTAGTAATTAATGAAAGTTTTATAGTTACCAAAAAAATAATAATAATGTACTAAATATGTCTTTGTTTTTAATAATTTTCATATTTATTGTAAGTTTTACAAAGGAATGAATTCTAGCTCAAGTGGTTTTGTAACTACATAATTTGTTAGAGGGCAGTGGTTCAAGTCTTACTAAAACATAATTATTTTTAATAAAGAAACTCTCCAAAATGATAAAACTTTAAGCCTGCTTTGAATATGATATGAACTCTGAACCTCTGTCGAAATTGTAGTACTAAACCAACAAATCACTAAGCGTCTTTGATTCACAGTGGTATCATTTGTTATTTTGTACTCGAAATAACTTGGTTTTGCTTATACTGTATACACATATTTAGTAAAACTAGTTTTAGTGTACGTGCGTTGCACATGTTTATCACGTTGATTAATAAAAATTATATACAAGAAAATAAATTATATAAAATATCAAATGATGTTAAAATAGATGCAACATTCAAATGCAACATTCAAATAAATGATAAAAATAAATGTTATTTAGGAGGAGTAGTTAAATTCAAAATAATTGAATATATTTTGAACCTTGTCACGAACCCAATTTTCCTCCGTAGGATGCTGTGACGACACCTAGTCTCTAAGACTAGGGATGGACATAAAATTCGAAAAACTGAATTCTGAACCGAACCGAACCGAACCGAACCGAATTAATTTGGTATTTCAGTTTCGGATTTTTCAGTATTTCGGTACGAAAATTACGGTATTTTGGTAGTTCGGTACGGTATACGGTATTGAGTTTTTGATATTTCGATATACCGAAATACCGAAATATTTTAGTCCAAGCCCAACTCTAATTTTATTTTCCAGCCTAATAAGCCTAAGCCTACACCCCAAGCCCCCTAATTCCCTAATCCCTTAGAGACTTAGAGCTCAAGTAGATTACGGGTAGTCTAGTATCTGGCTATTTGCTCTTACCCCCATTCCCTTTCTATTTTCTAACCTAGACTTCTCTCAAACATTCCAACATTGTTGCTACTGCTGAAACTGCTCATATCCGTGCCCTTCTTAGAGGCACTTGGTTTACTATTTTCCGTTCCTTGTATTTTATAGGTGGATTGATTCCTTATTATGCAAATACTTACAAGTTACATGCTAACAGATTGATTTCTTAGCCTGCACAGTGCACT